AGGAAAAACGCAAACTAATCATCTGTTGCTAATCGAACAAAAACCCGTTGTGCTCACGATGTGTTGAAGGGTAAAACCTCATTTATCAAGGTATGGATGCATCTCAGCTAAACAAATCATTGTTTAGTGGGAAAGGCAATAAATTTATAATATGATATAATAGTCGATACTTGAGATTAAGATAAAAAGTCTGTTAGCCATATGGTGCTTAAAATTAATACTTATTTATTGTTATCTAGTTGAGTTAGAAATCCCTTAAATACCGGAGCCCTAGTAAGTAAGTAGTCTTTTATATGTATGTTCGCCGGACATGAAAACCACGCAGCGGTTTATTTATGCCACGGCTTTTAACCAAGTAATTGAATTATTAGATCAATTATTTAGTTCAAAATGTATTCAAAGCAACTTAATTGAGTGTCACATACCGTCTTATCTACTTGTTGTTTAACTGAAATATTTATCTTTTTGTTTAAAATGAATTTTATTGTGTGTACATTTTTTTTATTTATTTTTACACGTTGTGTTACTCTATAATAAATTAATAAGCTTAACTATCTTACAATCTTTTTGAAATGACATATTTAAGTTTAAATAAAACACTTTAACGGTTTAAAACGCGATATATTATTAAACTTATTTGAAAATGATTCTTAACTTCGGCCCGACGTTTCGGATGCTTTGCAGCAGCCGTGGTCACGGGGACCTAATATATCGCGTTTTAAACCGTTAAAGTGTATTATTTAAATGTGTACTACTCGCGTAAACTATAGACAGTATATTGAAGTTTTTTTATAATTTTCAGTTAATGTAGTCTGTGCCCTGGTCGATCAAATTGACATTTAAAAATGCAACTTACAGTAAACGTATGGAAAAGAAAGTATGGTATTTTAAGATACTCTATTTAGCACGAATTTTGAATACAGATCAGATTTATATGCAGCGATCGTATTCGAGTAGTGTCGTTTTCTTTAAACGTTTCAAATAACGGATCGACAACGGTTGTACACATATTATAATAGTGTTTTATATTACGGCTGCCGTTATATATAAAACAAAGTCGGGTTTATTTATGTATTCATTTGTTCGGTCGGTTGAGAATAATCAGACCGATTTTAATAGTAACCGAACCGAATCTTCGGTTTTTGGCCGAAGGCAAGCCATCACTGTCATTGAAAATTTTCATATTTATCTAGTAATACTACTATAGAGTAACTACTTTTTCATGTTACCATAGAATGTTGATTTTCCTTGATTATTGGCTTATTACATAGTTCCTAGTTCGAAAACCTTGTTCCGACCTCGCACTTTCGTTCTATGTCAATATCAAGAACATATACATATTCTAGTTTGCACTTTTTTGACCTCGTACATATCACACGGTTCGAGAAATCGGAACTTCTTAATATATCCGAGAACGAGTTTTCCATCATTACAACGAATATGAATCATACTTTACAATACAAATAGTCATAATAACAAGGTACTTGTAGTATTAAGTAGTAATAGTAAACTTAGACTAGACTTATAACGTAATGCGTATGCGCTATGCGTAGCAAACGAGCCCTTATATTCCAAATTTCGCTCCCCTACTTGCCTGGAGATAAAATGATTAACTCATTTTATCTCCAGGCAAGTAGGTAATCTTTTATTCATTTTTGCTTACTCCATTTTGTTTCTTATGAGGTCTCGATAAAAAAAATCATTCATCATAAGTTCAATAAACTTGGAAGTACATATTGTATTGAAAACTTTTATATTTTTCACATGATTATGGAATTATACAATTTTTAGATTAAAAAAAAATTACGACACGGGCAGGATTTGAACCGGCAGCGTTCGATGCTGTTGCTCTAAGCATCTACCGTGCTACTCTAAGAAGCTACCGAGTCGTGTCGACTTTTTTCAATTTATTGATACATGCACCTCTCGTTATAAACTCCAAGAGTTTCAAAGTTAAAAAAACAAATTTTACCCTCTAAACAGTGAAAAATTTTAAATATTAACTAATCGCAACACCAGAGTAAAAAGAACGTGATTAATTAAAAAATATCTTGTTATTCACTGACCATCTTACATTAGGTCGAAACGTGAAGGTTTTAACTTCAAGGGTATGTAGGTCGAGTTAAATTAGGTTTATTTTTTGTCCATGAAGGTAATTGTAAGGACCTATAACGACCTATAAAAACGCGATTATTCGTTGCAAAATTCATCGATGCAGTGTAATTAAATATCTTCAACGTAATGCTGTCCAAAAAACAATAATTAATAAGTTAAATACTGTCTTTTGTTTACGCGAGTGGTACACATAGATAAAACACTTTAACGGTTTAAAACGAGATATATATATCTCGTTAATAATAATAATATAATATATTAGTTAAAAATTAGTTTTGCAGCAGCCGTGTCTCCCCATGACCACGGCTGTTGCAAAGTACACGGCAGGTTGAGTTATAATAATTTTCAAATAAGTTTACTTATGTATATTGCGTTTAAACTGTTTAAATGTTTTATTTAAAGAAACAAGTTGTTAAGTTACATTAAAAGTACATTTTAGATTGATGAAATCTACAAATTGAGCACCATAATTAAACGTAAATACATACATTGACGTTTTTAATTTAATTTATTTAAATGGCACCTCTCAAAGTTTCTAAAGATACGAACTGTACAGTGCGAACCCCTGATATTGTGATATAAGGCTCATGATACAAAAATTTTAAAATAAAATGTTAAACATGCCAGTATTATCCATGTTCATAATCTCGAAAAACTAGAAACCAATATGAAAGAAACCTTATTTAATTATTCAGCTATTTATGAAACCTTTTATCTTGTAGTTTCTTTTTGTCGTCTAATGTAAAGTTACAATTAAAATTTCCATTTACATAAAATATACCATAAAAAACGTCCATCTACATATTATTAGTCATTAAAATACTTACATACATATTTATAACGTAAAAAAACGTTGTGAAATGTTAACAAATTGAAATAAATTGTGTTAATGTGTCACATTCTTCCTTTGAAAATCGCGTGATAAACCTGAACCCACAAAAATACGTTACTAAATATCCTAGGCCTATATAGATTGCATATTGATAGACTACTCACATCAGAGATTTATTGACGCCTTATTTTACGTGATTGGCACATCTTTACTAATCTATATACTAAGATATAAAGCTGAAGAGTTTGTTTGTATGTATGAGCGTGCTAATCTCAAAAACTACGGGTTCGAAGTTCGAAAAATTCTTTTTGTGTTGGTTAGAACATTTATGGAGAAAGGTTATAACATTGTCCTGTGACTAATAGGAGCAAAGGTACAACGAGAAATGTGAAAAAAATGGGAAACTTATTCATAATTATGGCTTTCCGAGGCGTAGGCTGAAAATATGTATGACAGAATGATTCCTATTTAAACGATCTTTAAAAAAGTCCGAGATGCTATGTATCTTTTAAGATTAACTTGCCAGAATGACGGGAAAGGACGCGACCTGGGTGGGTCCTTACGTTTATAAAGATGAAGGGGTTTGCAAATGATTTTGGATGCCCAAAATAACGATTGTCGCAGACGAAGTCGCTGACACAGCAAGTATTCAATAAAACACTTTTAACAGATAGACATTTTAGTCATCCCCTATAAATTGCGGCGTAGCCGGAGTAGTCCCGGGAAACGTTAATTTATTTATTTTTAATATTTCGAACAATTTTACTCAATAATACGTAATTACTTTGCTGGAGTAGCAACCTACAATGAAGTTAGCCAGTACTAAATTAAGGGTTTATTATTTTTCTACAAAAATAAATTCTATTTTCTGTGTTTACAATAATCACAGTTTAAAATAGGAAGAAGATAAATACAAGAATAGAAGAACAAAAAAGTTTTTGTTTTCAAATATATATCTGTAATGATTAAAATTATATAAATTTCATACAATTTGAAATAGGAACTGCCCATAAACAACAACATAAGCTTACAAATGTGTGTTTTTGACACATATAAAGCTTTCACTGTTTATCAAAAGAAAATACGCAATAATACTAAACTGCAGCATCGACATATGACCCAATATGTCAACATAATGAAGAGATAAGAGTACAAAGACTGGACCCCTCACTGACATGTGTACGTTTCCGTAAAGATATATATCGTGGCTTAATTAATTATAGCGAGTTAAAATTTAAATTGTTTAATTTAATATTCCACAGACGACTTCATACCATATATGTTTTTAACAGACACTTCTTGTATTTATTTTACACATTTTGAAAGATAAGCTACATAGCCACAAGTTACTTCACAGATTAGAGAAAGCAATTATTTAAAAAATGGGCCCAGCTATATTATTAATAATATATATAAGATTTTTTTTCTACTTTAGTCTATAAAAAAAGGTTACGTTTTTTCTAAAGCCAGTAGTTTCCTTCGCTAACTATATATAGACCTATATAATAATTCATTAAACATAAAATGATCGAGAAATGTATCATGTTATGATTTTATATGCAATTTTTAATGTCTATAACTGAAGTCCTCGCAATTTTTAAAATCCCCGTATCGGAAATTCTGTGCATTATTCAACCGAATTTTATTTTTTCGCGCCCTAAAATTTTTAACCTAGAATAAGAGATTCTTGGCTAAAAATTGTATGTTGTGTGCTTATTGTATTAAAAAAAAAGCTACGGTCGTTAAATTAATGGTAATCATCAAATATCTTTAAAATAATACTATCACGAAGCTTTGGTTAACTTCGAGTGATGCTTAATGTATCCAGCTTTCATATTAATAAATATTATGACATAGTAAGAGTAAATCGGAAGCAAATTGACTAAGGCTATCAACACGAGCGAAACATGTTTCAAGATAACCTGGAAGGTTAGGCCAGTGAACATATCATTCTTAAAGAAACGCGCCGCAATCCACACGCGTTTGAGAATAAATCGAGTAAATATTCCATTTGTCATCACTTAAAAATAATTTTAGACTTTTATGAACTAAAATGACGACGGTTAACGGAAAAGACACCAATGATGTACCACCATCATCCCTGATACGCCGTATAAGTTCGCGATCTATGAAAAATTCAAATTCGGAAGATAAAGAAAATGGCGACGCCTGTCCTAAGGGATCGTTTGTCAGCAAATACAAGAAAGCTCCAGAGGCTCTTAAGAATTTCCACTTAAACGATCCCGAGGAGAATCTAGAAGTTCCCGGAACGCCCGCGACACCGCGGACCTCGACTACGCCTGGTTTGTGAATTTTGATTGCATTATCTGTAGTTTGATTCTTTTTATCTTCGAATTATCTTTTATTCATTTTTTTTTTTAATTTTCGTCTATGTTCTCCTTCTTACAACTATGCTTTCATGTTTAAGGCTATTAGATAACTTGTTATGATTTTCTTATCATATGTTATATTTGACCATATCTAATGTTACAATGTTACTTAACTTACTTAAATTTAATAATAATGTTTTCATTAGCTACATAATCACTTTAGCCTAATCCAGCAATTTCTCGATTACGCTACACGATTAACCGCTTTATTAGATACAAACAATTCCGATTATTATTACTAAAAGCAACAATTAATTATTGTCTATAGTAAATATTACGTGAGATCAAACTTTTGAGTATAAATTTTTTACAGGGCTTATAGGCTTTATATTATATTCATTAGGGTTTTTATATCTATAATACGTTAATAAAGTTTAAAGTATTTTATTTAAAAGCAACAGATTTTTTACTGAAGTTTTGTGTTGTTTACGTGTTTATTAGAATGTGTTATTAGACAGTATTAAATACATAGAATTACATTTTAATTAAAATTGCAAAGCTGATGATCATTTTAATCGAATATTCGGTTTCCTCATAAATACACTTTGTGATCTCTATAGCTTAAATTTGTTGTTCGCGTTTAATTTATTTATGGCATCAAATTAGTATTAATTAATGATTCAATATTTAAATTAAATGTTGATCAAATTAAAAGATTTCTTACCACTTTTCCAGAAAGCTAACCTTGATCTTGAATATTAAAACAACGAGCCTATAAAAATAAATGGTTGAACACTGTCGGCGTAAATTTCCACATAAAATATGCATAATTAGTTTTTTATTGTTTCATTGAGGCAATTGAGTAGCAGTGTTGTTTATAATCGTCGATAAAGTGGATAATTTCCATCGTAAACACGATGTTTTTATTTTTTTAAATATAGAAGTGCTAATGCGATGCTCGTTTCCGTTCAACGGAAACAAACTACTGTCATAGTAAATTTTAAAAAAAGGAATAATTTTTACAGGCTTCAAAAGTCTCAATTTGATTCGTAGATATGTTATATTTTATTTTTTTATTTATAGCTTTGGTTAATAAATTTAAATGGCACAAATTTCTGATCATTCGCCTATAGATAATTAGGTAAAAATATTTTTTGTATTATTTGCTATGATTAAAAAAGCTGACCCGACCTTTGTTTCCATATAAATTACTTCTAGGGAAAACTATTAAAAATGGGGTTGGTGATACAAGGATGTTAAACACAAATAAAAATTAGACATTTTCTCACAACAAATGGCGGTTACGAAGAAATGACAATTGTCATATATACAGTATAGAAACTAATATTGTGAAACGATAATTTTATATATCATAATATGGACGTGTTTCATAAAACATTTTCCTGTACAGATTCTCTTAGGTTATTATTGTGTAATATATATTATGTGGAAATCTCATAACGTAAGCAATTTGCGGTAAGGTGTTTGAGAATAATTTCTTTTGTTTGCGGATTTATACCAATGTAATGAAAATGTTTGTATTAGCATGAGTGTTTTAGGTAAATTGAGATATGTTTATATTTTTTCGCAATAGAGCGGTGCTAGATCTTCTTATTTTTTTCTACGCCTATGATTAAGAATTATAATTACTTTATTTCTAGCTCGTAACATACAAAGTATAGTTATTTATGTTAGAGGAGCTCAGACGAGCACGGAATTCACTTAATGGAAGGATTCATGTACCTCATCTATATTTATATTTGTAAATACATGACGGTGGTTTGTGTCCCGGACGGAATTTCAAAATTCCTGCCACTCATTAAACAGCCAGATTTCCAGACGAAGTCCAACGTGTTCCAGAAAATTAATAAATTGATCAGAAATATGTTGGAGCGTGTTCGAACCCATGACGAGTATTAGCCATACATTGCTTCCATTAGATATATATATAAATATAATATATCTCTGCCTAACGCCTGGTATAAAAATCTGAGCAATTCTGTGCGATATAGAATTAATACCTAACCTAACGCAGCACTTATTCCGCAATACGCAGACGTGCATTTTATTAAAATTATGTAATATATTGTTCCAGGTCACGAAAACTGCACATTCCACCATGATCTGGAACTGGACCACAGACCACCCACGAGGGAAGCGCTCTTACCAGACATGGCAAACTCTTACAGACTTTTACTTACCGGTATGTTATAATACCAATGTTTAAATTTGTATCTTTTGATCCTTGACAAAAATATCTGTTTTTTAGGCGAGTAGTTTACATATAATTAATTAAAAACTCTTAACGGTTTAAAACGCGAAATATATTAGTTAACTTATTTTTTATTTTAAATTCAGCTTGACTTTTCGCAAGCATTGTAGCTTTGACAGCGGTTTCGTGATCAGGGGTTTTGCGTTTTCAACCGTTAAAACTGTAAAATGATGCAATTTACAGTTTACAAATTCTTTATTAAACAAAAAATAGTACATTTCGTTATAGTGTGTGGATACACACTAGGAAACCCTGTGTCGTGGATATTGTGTGAATAGTAAAATTTGTTGATCATACCTGTCTGTATAAGTGCTAAATACGTAATAGTAAAGGGTAGACGTTTTATTTATTTATCAATTTTCCAGGTTTGGGAGAAGATCCTGAAAGGGAGGGTCTCCTAAAAACCCCTGAACGCGCCGCCAAAGCCATGCTCTTCTTCACTAAGGGATACGACCAAAGCTTAGAAGGTATAGTTTTACACACATTACCCTTAAAACTAAAAGAAATACCTTTATTATATATTAATAAACAGTATCGTTCTTCTAGCGTATCATAAGAAATCTCTTCAAAATTCCTGAAGGATAAAGATTGGATGCTATATTTATTAGAGAACCCCGAAGCACTGAACCACTGAAGGCTGATCAACTATGGTATTCTACTATAGTTGATTGGACTTCAATGCCCTGGCCTAATACGAACCTAGGACCTCCCACGCCTAACGCAATGGCTATTTGGCTAGTAAAACATTTAACCACGGAAGTACGGAGGTCAGTAATAGTCAGTCTAAAACATTACATTTGATTTCAGAGGTGCTAAACAACGCGATATTCGACGAAGACACAGACGAAATGGTCGTTGTAAAGGATATAGAAATGTTCTCGATGTGTGAACATCACCTTGTGCCGTTCTACGGAAAGGTATCCATCGGTTACTTGCCCCAAGGCAAGATTCTTGGGCTTAGCAAGCTCGCCAGGTAAGAAAATCTACTATTTGATATTATTTGGCGCCAGGACTCGAGAACATGAATAATCTTAAAATTCAAATAATTCTATTACGTAATCTTTTATTTGAATAGTGTTCTATTATAGCTTATGTAGTTATTTTTCTTGTTCTTCAGAATCGTGGAGATCTACTCACGTAGATTGCAAGTCCAGGAGCGACTCACCAAACAGATAGCAAAGGCTGTCACTCAAGCAGTCAGACCAGCGGGTGTAGCTGTCGTCATTGAAGGAGTGTAAGTGTGCTTTGATATTATAATAGAATAGAAAAGAAAAGAAATACGTTTATTCAGAAAAACATTTACCATTAAAACTAATTCTAACAGACAAAATAAAGGAAGAAATAAATACAAATTAATTCAATACACCAATATAAAATACCTCTGAAAGAGAAACCATTAAGCTACTTTGGGACTAATATCCCCACTACACTGGTATTCTGTGGCCTCTTCAGAGCCCAAGATAAAGCAAGCGAGTTTGTTATTAATACTATACTCACATCTTTTCGTATATATCATTTAGCTTGAACTAGATGCAAATTCTTTAAGTAATAAGAGCATTGATCAATATTGACCGACCGTTAAAATGGATATTTTAATTATTTTTGACATGAATATACTTGTAAATATTTAATCTTTAATTACCATTATTGGTAGCTAACTAGTAGTTCCTAAAGTAATACCGTCTATTACTCAGTATGAAGAAATTAATTGAAACTTTAAATTTGTTGATACTTTACTGCCTTTAATAAGTAATCATAATTTCTTACTTTCAGGCACATGTGCATGGTAATGCGTGGAGTCCAAAAGATCAACAGCAAGACCGTGACTTCTACCATGCTGGGCGTATTCCGCGACGACCCCAAGACTCGCGAAGAATTCCTCAACCTCGTTCACTCCAAGTGAGGCGCGGTCGTACTTATTTGCCTTAGCATTTTGTTGCCTGTTACCTTTTTCTTTTCTTCATAAAAGACACAACTATTAGTCCCTTAACCTCTTACGACCTACCGACAAAAGTCTAGAAGTATATTTTGTCCCCCTCTTAATCTTCATTACATCTTTAGCCAAATTGGCCTTTCCCTTATTTGTTTCTACATGTGATTTTTAGTTAGTTACGTTTTAGTTTCATATAGTTCAATTAACCCACGACTGCCAAAATTAGTTCATTGTCGTTATTTGAATATGAAATTAATATCAATTCTATTCTCAAATTCATATATTACCAATATTTTAAACTATCGTTCTACTAAAATGACTATGGTGAATAGTTGAATGATTTTAAAATTATTTTGTACAGAAAACAGTACTATCATTTAGTATTCAAGTATTAAGATTTCTTCTACATTGCATGGTTTGCTCAATTTTTTTCTTTAGGATATGAATCAGAATATAGAAAAGTTACATAAGTTTTGAGAAATTAATTTGTGACAATAACTTTCCTCTTGAAATAATCGTACGGTGCCAAATTTTTGTTAGAAGACAGTATTTTGGATTTGACGATTGAAATAATTAGAAAGTTAAAACTGCCTATGAGTAAAATAAGTTAGGTAATTTTTAATTTCTAAGTTACACCGCTTGGCTATAGCACAAATTACCTATGTTTAAAAAGTTAAAAGAAAATGTACATTTCCGTTAAAATTATTTTGTAAAATGCGATTTGAATTGCCCAAAATCGTATTTTTCAAATGACAGCACAATGTTTTGTTTTGTAAAAATCTCAAGCTGTTTATGGCTGACGCTTGACATTTTTACCATAAAAAAATAAGCTATAAAATTCCATGACGTTGCCTTATAATGTATAAATATACGAATTTTTATATATGTTGAATTATATGAAAGTGTATAATTGAGATATTTTTATTTTATAAATAAAGTTTTTTTAAGTTAACATTTGTTTTTTTTACTCTCAAAAAGTTGGATATATGAATATTTATCGCTACTATGCCCCTTCACTTACGTAATCTAAAAAAAACCAATGGTTTAAAGTGCGATTTTGTAACCAAATATAAGAGAGTTGAGTAAATATTTCTGACTGTTTTGGTCCAAATTCATCCACCCAATTCTTAGCAATGATCAATTTTATTTACAGACAAGTACTTAATCAAACTTTTGTGCCATGCCAAAGTATTTATTATATATCCCTTAGAATTCGAACACAGGACTTTTCTCACTGAACAAAATGAGATTGACAGATGCATGCATTCTAGCTTTTAGGTGCTCACCGAAATTAAAAACATAACAAACAATAAATAAAAGCAATCTGCCTACTATATAAATTGTGTGAAAATATTTATTAGGCGTTTTTCATTTATTTTACCTTTACGTATTTTTATTTGATTTGGGAAACCGCTTTGTTATGTAATGCATTACTGTTTCCTTAGAAAGTTAACATTTATTTCTTCAACCTTCTTTCCCAATGCCCATAGTGTTAACAGGACATTCGGTTATCTGGGTAAGGTTTTGCAGGCCAAAGACTTAAGACGAACGTTTGTATTTGTCGGATGGTAGAGTAATAAAGCCCCCTTTACTCCGGAGTTTTGAAGAGAATACGTTGTTATCCCATTCTAGATCTAAAAATAAAAAAAGTTTAACCAGCTTTAGCCGGTAACGAAAAAATATCACAATGTCTTTGTCAGTATTTTGTGCCTTCGCATCTGAGACATTACTAAGTAAAAATATGTAAAGTACAAATAAACATAAGCTAGATCGAAACGCCATTTTTTTTTAATCCAAAGTAAGCAAACAAAATAAAAACAATAATTTACGCGTCGAACACAATAGTCATGATGATTATAATCTAGATCATTGCCGGATCAAACAGGGTCCAGATTATGGCGATCTAGTATTTTTTTAACAGAGGAGGCCAGACAAAAATAGGATTCACTCGAAGATAGGTGGAATACCCCAGTTAAATATTATCATCTAATCAACCTATTTACTTTTTGTGTTCGTGAAACCTATCAATCTACTGAATAAATAATAATTAAAATATAGCTAATCGCAGTATGTGTAATATAAGGTCTACTTTTATATAAAACACTTTAACGGTTTAAAACGCGATATATATCGCGATAGTTAAACTTATATGAAAATGATTTTTAACCATTTCAAAAACTCTGGATCCCAATAAACAGCATACAAGCAAACGCGAAGATACCGTTAGTAAATTCTGCAAGGACCCGGCCAGTTTCGCCAAATATCAACTTCGACGGAACAGATGGCGCTAGCGTAGCAATTTTTTACTTTGACCTCAGACATCCTCCATCTTTAGTCTCCCCGTGACTCCGGCTGCTGCAAAGCATCCGAAACGTCGGGCCGAAGTTTAAAATCATTTTCAAATAAAAAACTTATATAAACTATAGACAGTATATAAGGTCTACTTTATTAACTTTTTTATTATGATTCATTGGGACCACAGATTATTCGCGATCAGTCGAATTCATAGTTTTAAAATCTTATTATACGTATCATCATTCGTTATGTTGTATTTTTATTATAAATTATTGTTTTAAAATAAAGTACAGTATTATCTTTAATTCTCGTATCTATCGTGACTTCGAGCCAACCAATATAAAAGTTAATCCAAGGTTTGGTATTAAAATAATTTTCACGTACAGTTATAGGTATTATTTTTACACTTAATGATACATGATAACATATAAATGACTTCTGAGACTTACAGTAAACAGACTCCGATAACTTGTAATAATCTCACAATTATAGGAGATCACGTTATTTTATCAGCATTTCGTTCTTTGAGTTCGGTAAGTGCATACATATTTTAATTTCCTTAATACGGGTAGAATAATGTATGTTTATCTTTATCTAGTTATATATTCAATAGCTTCATATAAGTTTGTACTGTCACATTCGTTGTATATTAAATTATAAGTTTATTAAAATTTTTCATAAATTAACATTTGATAAATAAATATGTTTTTGGAATATTAAGAACTGAGACGTAACATCTGTTATGAGACAAATAGTGGATTTATTGTTATTTTTTATAGTGTAGATCCAGAAATATTTATTACTTAAGTCAAATTACATACTTACATAAAAGAATTAAAAAAAGGTTATCATTATCTCTGTGACTTTTCACCCTGCTTATGTTTACTTTCGTTTTAAACCATAGATGCTAAAAAGAGAATATTCTAGCAAACTTATTTATTTTACAATTCAAAATAATTATTTATCATAATCATAAGTTAAATTAGATTTTATTGCTTTTTATGGTTCCTTTCAATTCACAATTTCTGTTATATTTTTAAACTAATTAATTCTTAATTTTTCAGAAACAATGATGAAGTTAAGAGTATTCACGGTATTATTGCTAGCGGGCCTCGCTTTTGCCGCTCCCGCCTCTAAAGATGATGATGAAAAAATTACAATTACCAAGGAATATTTTCCGGATGAATTTGCAATATATGAAAGCAAGCATGAAATAGTAAATATAGTCATCCCACTGAATTCACTCAATTTTGATGAAGATGATTCCAGCGAGGATGAAATGAACATTACAATTTTCTTTGTCGAAGCTGATATCGATACAAACGGTAATCGTATATACCAGGGTTTGTACGCCTTCAGGAATGGTACAGCCAAGATGATTTTAGAAAACGGAAGAGATGCAGCATCGTCCGGTGACGATAGCAGAACGGTGTATCTCGCTGCTACCGATGGTCTCTATACTTACAAAGCAGATGATCAAACTGCTGTAAAATATGGATCTTTGGATGATAGTATAATTGGTATCGATCATGTAGCAGAAGGCGACGGATTGTACATTTTAACTAAAGATCATGTAGTTTATGAAGTTAAAGACAATGGAAACACAAAAGTTAAGCTTGATAATGTTGAAAATGCCCAGCAAATTATGTTAGATTATTCCGATAATCTATACTTCTACACTCCGGACAAAAAGGCGTATGTGCGAACAGCAGACGGTGTTATTGACATCGAAGGGCTTCCTGAAAATCCAAAAAAAGTAAAGTTATGGAAACCACCATTTATTATTGAAAATGGCGTGCCCTTCCTCGTTGATAATGTTGCCTACGTTATTTACTCAAACGGAACGAGTGAACTATCCGGCTTTGATTTTAAGCCGAAAGCTATTCCTTCTGCGGTGGGGATGGAGGCAATGTTAATTCAGTACCACGCGTACAATAAGAAAATATATGAATACAATATTCTTGCTTTACTACTAGGTGAGCTTTTGGAGGAATTGAAGAATTTCTTAAGTGATAAGACAAACGAGATCCAAAATCTAGCTACCAACAAAAGGGCCAGCCTAAGGAGAAAGGCTTAAAATATACGTATATTTAAAAGTTAACAATACGAGTAGAAAAACAGGTGCGTGTCAAATATGTTTTTAAGTGTACATTTTAAACAAAAGAAAATAATTTAAATATGTAATTTATTTACAATGTTTCTTTTAAATAAATAATCTCTGACTAACGGTTATTATTGTCTGTATCTTTTCTTTTAATTTTTTTCATCTTAAGTACTTCATTTATTATGCTAATAGTCGTTGCATTTATTGGTTAAAGTTACAATTTTAAATGTTAATTGTTTAAATAGAAGCCATCTCTAGTCGTATCCATTACAGACATTACAATTTTAGTAAGATCTGTAGGCCACGGTAAGGATACTCCAAACATTGATCGTAGTAGAACCTCCATTACATTAAACTCATAAATTTTTCCTTCTACAGCTGCAACTAAATATAAAGCAGCGTCTATGCTAAAGGCTGTTGGCTTTTCCTTTACACGAAATTCCTTTTTCTCAGTTGTTCCATTTGAATACAACATATAAAGATTTCCATCGCCAAAAAATGGTACACAGTTCTCCATAATGAAGGCGGGGCGGATCAATTTTACATCTTGAAAATCTTCAGTGACACTGGATAGAAACGATTGTAAACTTCCATCATTCTTTACAATTCGTGGTAAACGATCCTCACAAGCCAAATAATAAATGTTATTAGAAGTGTCCAAAACAAATTCAATAGCACATACCACACCACTAATTTTAGTCCTGGAAGTGCCATTGTCTCCCAATTTAAACAGTTTGTGTTGAGAAGTTAAGAAATATATATCATCCGATCCATTAGCTTTTTGTATTTGAATTATATCATCACGGAAAGTCCCGTACTTCTTCGCTGATAAACTTTCGGGATCATACTTGTATACGCCATCTCTAGCACCAAAATACACTGTTTTGTCTAATCCGTAATCCGAAGTCGAATCTCTTCCTCCTTCGAGTATTTCATAAGCAGCGAGACCTTCAAGGACGTAAATGCAATGTTCGCCTTCTAGATGTCGATCTTTAACTGTAAAAAATATCGATGGTATTTCAGTGTGATCAGCGTAAGACGCTCCATCTGCAGGAACCAGCAGTTTAGTTATAGTCGAATTCGATCGAAAGATAATGCTCTCCGGTTTGAATATCGTGTTGTATCGATTTTGTAGTCCACTAAAGATGTGTATAGAAAGTACGGGGGTAAGCAAACAGAGGTTTCTTATAATGCTCCACATTTTCTAAAACAAACGATTATTATTGGAACGTGTTAACATGTTTGTGTTACTTATATATTATGTATGATCTTGTCTTAGAAACAAAGCAAAGAATAACAAAAACTCTTACAGGAAAAAAAACAAGAATCCTTTTAAATAAAACAATTTGACGGTTTAAAGCGACAGATGGCGCTAGCGTAGCAATTTTTAACTTGACGTCAGAGACATCCTCCATCTTTAGTCTCCCCGTGACCACGGCTGCTGCAAAGCATCCGAAACGTCGAAGTTAAAAATTATTTTAAATAAGTTTAACTAATATATCGCGTTTTAAACCGTTAAAGTGTTTTATTTAAATGTATACTACTCGCATAAACTATAGACAGTATTGAACAAGAATCCTTGTCTCGCGAGTTTAGTGCGAAATGCTTATTCACATTCATCTATATCACTAATATAAAAAGCTGAAGGGTTTGTTTGATCAAGCTAATCTCAGGAACTACTGCTTCAAATTGAAAAATTATGTTTGTGTTGATTTTTTTGTGTTCATTTATCGAGGCAGGCTATATAGCATCGCACTTCGACTAAAAAGAGCGAAGCTACCACTTCTTTGTCATCGTGTAGACAAGTTATTATTCCTTTATTTAGATTGTTTATGTTCAGTGAGAGAGAGTTAAATAGTCTCCGCTAAGAGGAAATTAGTAAAATAGTAAGCAGCTAACATTGACTGATCTGCCGGCCATCTCTCCAAGTGTTCCCAATAATAGTAATAATTATTTAGATCGTATGGTTATTTGTTTATCTAATTAGGAGATATTTTGAATACGGCAATATATATAAAGAATACAAATAGTCATATTATTTGTAATTTTAATGCGTCGTTATATAATCGTAAATAAAACTCGGCAATTTAACACGCACGCCCATTTATGCGTGGAGACGGTCAGTTCCTACTCTGTTTCCATTGTATCACGGGAAACTTCTCGTATACCGGTGGAGAACTAAACGCAAACGTTCTCGTCGACGAAAACAAAAAATACCAGGAATCTCTATCCTGCCTGAATAATAAGAAAAAAGCAATGAAATAGCGGGAAATGTGGAAAATTATTCATCGCCTTCGGTTTTCGATGCGTACGCTGCGAAAACGGTTTAAGATATCCAGAATATATGTATGAAAGAATGAGTCCTCTTTAAATGATCTAAATAAATATCTGCCACAGAAGAACGACGGGACACGATGAAGAGTTTTGTAAAAACAAATTTAGATGCCCAAAATACCTATTCTACGTGGACGAAGTCGCAGACACAGCTGGTTAGTTATAACATAGGAACTGCTACATTCGTAGGCAATAAGACGTCTTGATGTAGTTAATTTAAAGTATTGTTGTCAAATGGAAACAGTTCCTGATTTTTCCTTCCTTCCTATAAAACTTCATATATCGAAGTTACTCCGTTACTCCGTTAATCTTATTTAGTAAGCGAAAATGTACTGATAGAGAAGAATTAATTGTTGAAGTCCTATTTGTCTAAGGTCCATAACTTTTTTATTGCGCTCCAATTAGATAGAATAGTGCATTGAACTGTGATAGTTTGAACTAGAAACGAAGTTATATATCAGTGTTATTCGTGGTCCAGTAACTAGTGTTAGTGTTGAAAGTAAGTAAATTAATATCTTTAACTTTCAATTTAATTTAATCATCGTGGACACTAAAGTACCTTTTGTTTGTTGACACAACGATGACAGTATATTTCTCATCAATCTAATCTTTATTATTCTGCTTGAGTTTACGGTGTACATTGAGACCTATTTTAGGGCATTAGAAGTAATTAACCAAATGTTGTATATGTAATAGTTTTATCGATACCTAAGTAATATTTATCTATATAATAACAAATTCAACTATCATTTTGACCTTAGATTGTGCTTATTTATATTAATGTTTTTCACCGACGGTTCAAATCAATAAATTATTTTTATATCTTTTCAGATGTCAAACCTAGCTCTTCTACTGCTACTTGTCACATCCGCTGTGGCCGATAACTGTTCACATACATTCAACAAAGTAAATTTTACAAGAACAGCAATATTAACAATCAAAGGTTTACCAACGAATTTAGTTTACAATCCATTTACTAAAGACCTATTATTTACGTTAATAGACTTAGAAACGCTCCAAAATGATGAAGTGCAAACAAAAATGGATCAATACATATTACGAGACAATGAACCGATCAAAATCGAGAATATTAATGGACAAGCAGCGGCCGTAGATGTGGAAAATAACAAAGTATACCTAGCTAGTGACGACGGTCTTCATGTTTTAAATAAAACTGACAGAGCTAGTTTTTTGGCTTTTAAAGATGAGGATATAGTTCAACTTTTTAAGCCCAGAAACTCAGATGACCTGTACGCGGTATTTTTCCCCGATAACGAAGTGTATAAAATTGATATGAGTAGAAACGAGAAAGAACGAGTTGAAAATATCCCTTGTGCTTTTATAGTTGCCGTTGATTCAGATGACAATATCTACTATGAATGCGATTCGAAGTTTGTAAAAGTCTTACTCAAGGGTTTTCAAGAATCGATAGAATTTATTGGTATTCCAAAGAATTCCGCTAGGGCCATCGCTGTAAACGAAGAAAGTTACGTGGTTTTAGCGGCCAACGACGGTTTATATTGGTTGAGACCAGATAATGTAATTCCAAAGAAGATGATGGATCTAGATTACGTACCAGCCGGAATAGCTTTTAACGGTGATAACTTCTACGTATCGACAACTGGGGTTATATACAAATATGAAATGTGCTAATAAAGTGGATAAACATTGTCTCTCTTTATTTTTTCCATTTATTTACTATATGCAAGTTAAATACACTATTCGTCCTATTTTTTAATTTTACATTTGTCGAAAACAAAATGTATAGTTGATTAAATATTTTGTACTAAGTCATTAGAAATACTTACATAATTTCTTTTTTGTCTTCAATTAAATCCAAGCGAATGTTACAAAGGGCTCCCATCAACAGACTGAAATGTTATTATATCAAATTGTAACATTTTTCTTCTCCTGTGATGTGATCATAATATTATATTCCTTACGTCATTTTTCTAGTTAGTCTAGCGTATACAGCATGTTCCTGGTTCAATAAAAAAATATTACATATGGTAATCATTCTAATTAAAAAGGGACTTCAAACGTAAAGAAGGAATGAAATCTATTATGAATCGTGTGTTAAAAATATATTGCCACGCTTGGATATTCAACCATTAACTATAGTCTACTTTCAAACCTTTTCGTAACACGAGTCGACCCCATTTTTTTTATTTCTATCACTATACAATGCTTATGTTAGGTTATTACTACACGCGATTTTGAATATATAGATTTTAAGTAATCGAAAAACTAAAAAGTAAAATTAATTTAAACGAGACACTCAGAGTATCAAACAGCGTAGGTATTTCCTTATAAATAGCATAACATCCTTTAAAAAGCCATTTTATAAACTCCTTTGGGTTGAATTGAAAGTACAATGCGATAAGTTTAATTTATATATTTTTATCACCCGCTATACAACTGAAAGCCTATATTTACAAACTGGTGTTCTGTGACATAACAATGGCTGTTTTAAAAGAGTCCGATATCATCCGCTATGTTGCAAAGTCTCATCGGCGGTTTGAGTAACTGGTATGGATTTCTTTCATTATTTTCACTAAGAAAACCAACAAATATAACTACGACATGTGATTTATTTTTGGTTTCCACTGTGTTCACAGGGATTGACATGTTTCATCATGCAAGCGGTAAAAAATGGAATATGTATCACAGTATACACTCTACTTGCTACGGTGCACGCTAACAAATGTGAAAGGACTAAAATCGGAAACGAATACTACAAACGTCATCTGATTGCTGCCATAGATGGATATCCAACAGGAATGGTGATAGACCCGAGAACAGATAACATATTCTTTTTATTGCATAAAAGGAATTATACTAAAGGGATTTATATTTTACGACATGGATCCTTAGGAGTAAAAGAACTGCCAGTAGCTGATGATTACATCGGTCAATGCATAGGTGTTGATGTCGCTAACAACATAATCTATATAGGAACCAATCAAGGCTTGGTTACCTATGATTATTCTAGACCAGATATCAGCGTTGAAAGACCAATAGGCGATGACGATATACGAAGCATCTTCATTGATAAAACCGATAACCAAATGTACATTACGACGGGACATAATCACGAAATCTTCAAATTTGTCAATGGTTCCGCAGCTGTTAAAAGATACGATAAAATTCCGAAAGCTTACAACTTTGTTTTAGACAACAAGGGGAACGTTTATTATGAATACGTCGATGGGAGACTATATTTCTTTCCCATGGATTTGTATGAGCCAATACAGTACAAAGGTTTTTCGAGGGAGCTGAAATACATACTTAAGCTTAATAACCACGATGAAGCGATTGTTGCCGTGAAGGGTTCTCTCTTTCGGCTATTTACTAAGAGTATTTTGCCCGTGAAAATCGGTCAATTAGGCTTTAAAATAACCGGTTTGGCGTTTGATAACAAGAATAATATAGTTATAGGTACTAGAGGGAAGATATATAGTTACAAACCGATAGACACAAACGACCCTTGCCCGCCGGAAGATTATTTCATGACCAATATTTAAGAAAGTAGTTTTGACTAAGTAACGGCACAGACTATAATAAAGCATTTTGTCATAATATTGTTTCCTTGTCCGTCACTCATAGCAATGACAATACCAAGTTATTAACTTGTAATTAATGAAGTTTTAAGTAGGCACTACTGCTTAGACTTCTTATAAAAACTACGTATTTTCTAATGCAAAATAATTGGTATATTGTGAACAAATTGAATATATAAATATACATATGATACTTAATAACAAAACAAACCAAATTATAAAAATAAAAGAAAAACCTATTTGAAGTAGAATGTTTGACGTTGTTTTGAAAATTTTCGTACTATACAAAATAGACACTTATTAAAAACAAAAAAAAATACCCAGGGCTCGTCCGGGATTTGAACCCGGGACCTCTCGCACCCTAAGCGAAAATCATACCCCTAGACCAACGAGCCAGTTGCGAGTTATGTTGAAATTATGCTATATTATCTGTATCTCTTATCGCAGCAGTATCACAATGTTTTGAGTGCCTTGTTATATTATGTATTTTAAAAATAAAAAAATAGAAATATAATTCTAATTATAATAATAAATTTCCCATGGTCATGTAGATACAGTCAAAAACTGAATTTTATTCTAACGATTACTTACTATTATTCTATTACAAACTACTTTTACAAGTCTTTTATAATGTTAAAAGGCCATCTGTTATTACTATATTTAAATTTATAGACACCCCCGTAAACCAATCCTACCATTATCTGTACCTTTTCGAAGAACTGTAGGTGGCTCAAACTCCCCAGTTGCTAGACTCAGTCATACTCTAAACAGATTCAGTGGCCTAGTCGATGTTTACCATGACTCACCCAACAAACTCCGTCGATTACTTATTAATAAATTTTATTTCAATGTACAGGCACTTATAAAAAAAAAATACTTTGTTTTGTATATTATTTTTCTTTTTATTCATATTTTAATGTATAAGTTAATTCCCACTTAAATTTTACAATGTGTGTGCTTCTCTCTTATAATATTTGTTTTTACTTGACGTATTCGCCTATAATTGTTCTTCACAACCTATTGTGTCCCCTTAAACATGTATCTTAGTATAAATATTTAGTTGTAAGAACGTTGGTGAATCTAATAAATAAAATAAATAATCCGATAAAAGACGACGCAAATGACACGCCTGCCAAAAACCTTATAGCATTTACGCCAGTGTATGGATAAAAGATTATTTTTAGTGTTCGCATATTCTTTAAAATTTTAACAAATACCGTAAGAACATATACATAACATATACAAGCATATAACCTGAAAACATTACAAACATCAATATTTATAGCTTGAAGTTATTTAAAGATAAGATCCTTATATATTCTGGGATCCCCTGGGTTATTTTTGTTTCAAATCTTTCCACTCGGAGATTTAGTTTACAGTCCAAACCAAATTATTTTAGTATCTTTTATAACATGGACTACTAGACAATTTCACTGGTTGTCAGTTTCAAGACACGTGTTTGACAACTGAGCGTCGAAGTAAAAATACCTTACGTCGCCAATCAAATTATTATTCAAAGTGGCTAACGTTTGTTTTTAAGTAGGCTTTAACAATTAACAATGGATTATGTCATCTGTGAATCTCTTGTGCTTAATTGAATGATTACAGTTAACGTAATTTAACGATACCGTGTTTGGTATTTGGAACAACGTTGTAAACTCGACGGGAATAAAAACAGTCAAATTATACGACACTAGGACAGCGGCCCAGCTTCGACTTCTCTTATAACTTTTAATAAAACACATTTTCGTAATACTGTCCATTCTGTAGTTTACACGAGTAAAACACTTCACCGGCTTAAAACGCGATATATTTTAATTAGACCAACCCGGCCAACCTCCCCATGATCAAGACTGCTGCAAAGCATCCGAAACTTCGGAATCTAGTTAAAATATTTTTCAAATAAGTTTAACTAACGCACGTCGTGGTTTTAATCCGTTAAAGTACTTTATTTAAATGTCCGAGGGTATAAGTCTATTTTTTATCACTCCTTAGTGCCGACTATAGGATAAAAATTACAACGCTGGTATTATATTCTGAATTTTATTATACTAATAAAGTTTTGGATTATGACTAAAGTATTAGTTTAAGAGAAAGTCCTGTATTTAAATCGGTATGACCGAAGTACAGAATTTCAAGGTCAGTAAAGGTTTTTTGAGCCATTTTGAGAAACCCGATATGAAAGCTTATTCAAATGTTACAAAAAAGTTTAAATGTATGCAATCTAAATTGTGTATTACACATATTACATGAAGTATGAACTCGGAAACTAATAATAATTTCTATTTGCAAAACTTTTCATGAATCGTAGTGACACATCAATTATGTATGTACTTACTAGATTTTTGACCTACATATTTTCATTAACATTAACATAGTATTCAAAATGATAGCTATAAATCCGCTTCCCCACTTATAGCGGTCAGAACGGCCATATTTCTTGCGATTTAAACTAAACCAACATCTCCAATCAACCAGTACTAAAAGATCGTTTTGGCGGGCGGTCGCCATTTTGCATTGAAATTAAACCACAGACTTAACATTCTCATTAATAATCTGTGAAATGTGTGTCAATGAATATTTAATTTTTTAAGTAAATTATTGACAAGTTTTGTGCATATATGGATTATAATAAAAAGTAAGTATCATTTTTAGATGATTCTATAATAAAACTTTTTTTAGCCTTGTTTTAAATAATAGTAGATAACGTAAACGTAGATGTAATTTAATTAAATTTAGTGTTAGATACTTACTAACTTTGTTACATTATAGACAATTATTAAATGTATATTTTTAATTATTTTAAGCTTAAATAAAAACAATTGTGTAAAACTTCCTTTGTCATTATAGCTCAAGGAGTTCAACTTTCATTCATAAACTTTAACCGCTGAACTTTAACATACATTCTCAACATTACTTAAACCAGCCCTAACTGGTATAAAAGTATTTTAACCTAAATGTTCTTACCATATTGTACATTCAGCGCCAACACGGAAGATGATATCTTACTGTAAAAATATTTGCCATAGGTTAGACTCGAACCCACAGAAACGTTATATAATTAATTTATTTATAAATTAAAGACTTCTCGCTCCTTGAGTATTCGAATTTTTTCTTTGACTATTTTTCTTTTTAATAAAGATTAATTCTTTTCATAAGTACGTATCAGACAGATAAATACTTCTTTAAATGACCGCGGATCGTACTCCCTACTATGCTAATGTAAGTCGGGTGAACCAAGACCGCTCTCAGAGGGTTATAATATGTAGAATCAATTTTTGGTTAACCTTTGAATCTGTGAAAGTATTATTAAAATTTATTCTCTTTACTTTTAATTGTGTAAAATATATGACAAAATTATAATTGTTTAGGTTTGTTCTACAATGTTTCATTTTAGCGGTAGTACTTGTTATCTGATAAGGAGTAAAATCTGCGCTTAACAAGCTATGCTGTGCACAAGCTGAGCCTTTTGAGCAGAAACTTTAAAATTCTACTTTTTTATTCTTCTCGTTGTAATTATTCATTTTAATTGTAAGTTATACACAAGTCTTTGTGTTAATAAACGGATCATTCATTTAATAATCGTGTTGTTAAATTTAATTTCTTTCATAGATAACCTAATACGAGTAAAGTTCGCGCGAAAGCCCCGGAAATACCAGTACGTACTATTTAATATTGATATTGAAATGATGCGCCAAAACTTTGAATAGCAAACTGACCTCCACACATTACCTAACTCATTACATAATATCGGAACGAAACATAACGGAAATGCAGAACAAATTACCGAATATGGCCGACATTTTGGTACGTGACATGCTTTACGGAAGTGAGTTTGTGTTTTTGAATCGATTGATTGCGCGTGGGCAAGACGACTAATTTATATTTTGCCCTGAAACCAAGATCTAATTCCATTATAGTTTATTCTTTTTCAACCGATTAACGTCCTACAGGCCACTTTTCTTTTACTATCGAGTATTAAAGTTTTTCTTTTATATGATTCTTTCATAGATTGGTAGGTACTAAAGTAATAGATATACCTAGTAATTAATAAAAAACTGTTTATTTATGATTGTTCCCGTCTATTTGTAGTAGGTATATCTACCAACAACTACAAACGTGGATATTATAACACCAAGTATTGTAAAGCTGTTATAGTAAAATTTGTAGTATCTAATGTCTGTAGTTTACGCGAGTAGTATACATTTAAATAAAACACTTTAACGGTTTAAAACGCGATATGTTTTAGTTAAACTTTTTTGAGAATTATTTTTAACCATGGCTATACAATATATCGCGTTTTAAACGGTTAAAGTGTTTTATTTAAATTTTGAGTATCTTCTAATGAATATAATTCATCTTAAGTAAATAGTAAACAGTTAATGAAAAGAGATCCCTCAATTCATTGTTTATCCATATACCTGTATATTTTTTAATATTTAAATAACATAGAGTCTGTGGTTTACGCAAGCAGTACACATTTAAATAAAACATTCGTAACGGTTTAAAACGTGAAATATTAATATTACTTTAGTAACCTCTTTTTTAAATAACATTGCTTTGCATCATCTGTGGTCACGGAAACGGGTCAAAAATACATTAACTAAATTAAATAATCAAATAGAATTTTATCCAGTTCACAGATGATTTTAATGTAATAGAATATATGCTATCCGGAAACTGCTGCATCTCATCTGATCCTACATTTTCACAAAAAACAGGACAACGTCATCACAACAATAATTCAGTTTAGCTTTTCCTTTCATCAACAATCATATTAAACAATTCTCTCATCCGATAAGGCATTATCAGTAATCAGTAAAAACGGAAAGTTTGTGAGAACCGATTATTTATACTGTTGTTTCCATCTCGCATTTATGTTTTAGTGTTCCCAAGACATTTCATAATTATTTGTTAAACAGTGATTGCGGTAAAAATACCTCTGTGCAGTTACGTGTTTGACGACGTTAAACACTATTTTGCTTCTTAAATTCATCGTCATTCTTTCCAATCCAAGACGATAACAGTTTAATGCTATGTGAATTATTTATATATGTATAACAGATAATTTAATGATAAATAACTATAAAGGTACATACTCGCAGTTCGTAGTAGAAAGTCATAGACATCATTAAAAAGCACCTGTAACTAGTCAAGTACACACTACCAGACCCTTAATGAAATGGTTCTCTAATTAAAACATAAAAACTAGGAAATCCTTAATGTCTAAATCGTGGTCGTTGGTCCCTAGCTTGTTTAATATATGGTCAGTGAAAGTAATTGCCGTATGGTGTTAGGATTGCAAAAAGTTGCGCGTGCGCCGATTTCTTATAAAGCTCCGAGTTTAACTAGCTTTTAATTGAGTATTTATTGACGTTTGTCGTTCCGCAGTCGACCAGTCTTTCACGTTTCTTTTTATTTTCAGTTCCTAAAACAATTATATTAGTTGATATTTGATTCATAGATTATTATAAGTTTACTAATACGGGAAAAAAAGAACAGATATAAAAAACTTATCGCTCTATGCTTTTTAAACGATGATAATTTCATCCCCGTTAATACGGGGATGAAATTATCATCGTTGAATTAATCTATAAAATGCTTTCCTAAAGTATGTATTAGCTTACAAATAAATTCTCTTTTACACAAGCTATAAATATACGAGTTATTAAAAAAGCTATTAACATTGATCGGCTCTATTATTATATAAATGAGAATTATGTAATATTATTTAATAGCTAATAACATACTCGTACGGCGTGAATTCACATAATCTTTGCATCTGACCTATAACTATTTGCGAAGAGAAAGCTAAAAGATCTCTTATATGTATATTTAGGTAATTTGTAAATTTGTAAGCTTTCTAGTAAGGTATTCCTTACTGTATAATACTTTTCAAAAAGTACCTACTCAGGTAATTGTAGGGATACGAGTAACCCGAACGGAATAGAAAGAGAGTATTATACAAAATAAAACACCATTTAACGGTTTTATCCCAACTTAAAGTTTCCATCTTTAATAGTAGCGTAAATAGATAACTTATATTATTTATAAATTTTATATCACATTTTGAACAATAGTATTGATGTTAAAATTCTGTAACACAGTTTTTTAATAACACAAAAGTAATAAGAATTTGCTAAAACGTTTCTTTTAAATTTTGAGAATACCAGAGTTTTTCTTGCAAGATTCGCTAGACTAGTTAACAGCCCGATACTAAACAAACATAATAATAGTATTATTGTCCTTTCAAATTCTATTGTTGCTTTAAACAGGTCATTATCACTAAATACATAATTATAAGTCAAACTACATTCAGCCATTAAAGATATTAATTCACATCATAAATATTATCTTGTATCTAATTTCCATTCAAACGAAACTAACTCAATTAATGTCTTATTTTACAGATACAATGGCACATTCACGAATCATTTTAGTCACAGCCTTGATTTCATTCACGTTACAAGTTACCACATCGGCTAAAAATAACGCTAGTCCAGTTTATGAAGTTATAAATGAACAATCAAGAATGGACGATATACGATTGTCTAATGCACGAGCGACACTTCCATACGGTAACCCGTTAGCTGGGAACTCAGCACAAAATGCAAGGCTCTACGCCAGTAATCAACAGGCCATGTTCAACGCCGAGAAAATCAGACAACACAAAGCTCAACTCCAAAGACAAAGACAAGGTCCACCAATTGTAGATAGCTATATGAAAGCGTATCATGAATCACAAGAAAGCCATCAACTGGCATTAGAAGAACAACAGTCTAATATCAAAGATACCGTTTCAACAACTATTGCGCCCCGCAAGCCATTAAGAAATAGAACTCAAAACAGACATAGAATAAGCAACCGTGAAAGGAGTATGCCTAATAACCAAAGACAAGAGTTGAAAAGTAGACCTGAAATCGTTGAACGTGAAGGGTCCATCAGAACCACCTCTAAAGAGAGAACTAGAAATCACAGATCATACGAATCAACAGAATATGAACAGTACTTACAGTCAAAATTGCCGCTTGCTTATTTAGCTGGTACAGAATCTGAGCAGGGAATAACAATTAAACCAAATGGCAATATAGGAGTAGCAAAGGATCAAGAAAAACAACCCACTATTTTATATACAAGTGTAATTTCGAATAATGGCAAATATCTGCCGAAAACATCTCCAGAAATATATGCACTTGAATCTATATTGAAGAAAAATCCAAATGAACAATTAACTGAGTTCAAAACGTTGATAAATTCCGATGATAGTCAACACTTTTCGATGTCCCAGTCGCCTGAAACACACGACGAATTCTATTATCCTCTAAAAGATGCTTCAAATCTTAACATTCCAAACTACTATAACGATGCTTTTGCTAAAATTCCCACTACATATGCTAGTGCGTACGCTGCAAAAGATCACACCCCAATCACAGAAGAAGTAGATGACGTAGAGAATCCAATACAATACCAAAATACTTTTGTAACGCCTCAATTGACGACAGATCTTCCGATAGAACAATCGACAGTCACAAAAAACTACTACAAGGTTGAAGTAGCTAGTCAATCCGTAACTGGATTGAAACCCAGCAAAATAAACGAAGAATTATACCTTAATCAAGAACAATATCCAAGTGAAAGTTATATAACTCATGGAGGTGTTCAACATTTGACGGAAGACAGCACAGGCGTATCGGCCTATGGAGATGATGTAAGTATAAAATTAAGATTCAAAAGATCTACACTAGATACTGAACCGTTTCTTATACCTGCGTCAAATTGTACAAATAACACTGAGACATCTAACACGACAAGTACTTCTGAAATCCCCATTGCTGAAGCTCTCCGACGACCTTTGAACTCAAAACGTAATGATTTCAATGTGTTCTTGACACCGACCTTTCAAGTTGGCGAAGCGACTGACTATGACGATTACGATGACGTCCCAGCAGTACGTCCCGCTCCAAAACATCAACCTTTTTACGATGATGACGAATATTATGATGACTTTTCTAACGATTACGGCGAATCGAATAACGGCCCCATCAGCCTTACGGAACAGCCTTTGCAAAACACTCAAATACATTATCCAGTTCTCGATTCTAGGGGAAGCTACTCTCATCGACATCGACAATTTAGACGGCCGCAACCCGAACTATACGGCTTACCATCCTCGTCCTATGGTGTTCCTGCCACGTATAGTAGCCAAACGTACAGTCCGCATTCACAGATTTTACCGGCCGTGAATAATTTAGTGCCGAATGTATTAGAACCGGTTTACATGCTAACGCAATCGCAGTTAAAACAATTAATCGGTCAACCGAATCTTAACATTGAACATTTAGATGTGTATCAGGTTTCGAAAGAAAAAAAGAAAGTCCACTACCCGCGGAAGTTAAGGAAACGTTATCCGTATCGACGCAAAAATGTTAGGAGCAAATTGCATAAGCTACATAAGTTGAGATTGGTTTGATCTTATGAATATGGTAAATGAACACGCCTTAGCTTATTTCGCGACAAATATTTATAAGTCAGCGTTACACATCGAAAATTGTTTCTGGCCTTCTCTGGAAGTCGGTCAAGTAGCATTAGTATCGTAACACGGGTAAGTATCTACTAGAGATGGGCTGCGTACTCGGCAGGTTTTTTGGTACTCGTACTCGACAGAATAACTCGATAATACTGTTATTTGATAACGATATTTAAGAAAAGCAATATATTTAGGTAAATATAATTAAAACAACAGTGTTAATCTAAAAGTATTTATAAGTAATTTAGGAAATCTTTGAAAATGAGATTTTTAATAAAATCAAAATTATGCTAATGAATGAGTAGTAATGAGACAAAAATACGAGAAGATGAAAGCGAACCGACGTCTTGTCCGGCGCGAACCTGTTTTGCGCGAAATGGGAATTTATTTGAACCGAGTTACTCCGAGCCGGCCGAGTACTCGGTTGGAAAAAAAATTGAGCAGAGTAAAACTGGGTACTCGTTACTCGGCAAAAGTGTTACTCGGCGCATCTCTAGTATCTACGTAATTTGTTTTAACTTTACAAGAATATTATTATATTTCTTCTTTTTATGACACTGATCATAGTATGTAACGCCTTGGTTGAAGATGCCACGGTCGAGGCGGGAAATCGCTTAGTTTTAACAGATTTTTAATTTATTAAAAAACCGATGTGATGTTTAAGTTTTGAATGTGTCACTACTCCTTTTATTTATGTATTAAATCATGATGTTGTTATGTATAGAAATTAAAGATTAAGTAATAAATTTGTTGTAAAAAATATCAGTTCTTATACTCTTTTTAAATTTAAACTGTATTTAGGTATAATAGTAATAAAGATACAGGCTAAACAATTATAAGTAAAATAAAATACAAATAAAAGTTACAAATAAAGTTTATTGTTTACGATGCAGTAGGTATACTGTATAGCAGTTCTTACTACTTATAAATAATACACATCAACAAGTATGTAAAATGATATATCAAAGTGTCAATTTAGTTATATGTATGAATAAAGATCTAACTATCAGGTATATTTTGTCCATTCCACACACACCAACTAACAAAAAAAAACTATGAGACATATTTTCATATACATAATTGTATATGCCTTGAACTTACAGAAGTACTCTCGAAAATTTCAAGCGATTGCTTTTAAACGGTATCTATTAAGTTATCTAAGTATATAAAAATATCAAATAGACATGTTAATAATAAAGATGCTTATTCTAGCAAGGAATAAAATAAAATCAAAAAACCTTTCTTCAATCACCTTTCTATTTCAGTTGCATTACGCGGCGAACTACGAATTCGGGTACCGGGTTCGAGATCCGGAGAGTGGAAATTATTTCGGCCAGTACGAGACCAAAGCAGGCGAGAGAACTAACGGGCATTACCATGTATTATTGCCAGATGGAAGAATGCAAAAGGTGCAATATTATGCTGGTCCAAGCGGGTATCACGCGGATATAAGTTACGATCATTTAGAAGCCAAGTTAAGGTAGTTTAATTTAGTTTGTGGTAACTTTAATTTGAGATTGAGCGCAACTAGCACTTATGGGTTTTATAAACCTATAGTTTTCAAAACTTTCAACATAATCTTTTTGTCCGAAACTTCTGTAAAAGAAACCTAATAGTAGTTTCCGACAATCAGATTACGTTGCTTTAGACTAAAGCACAATACGATTAGTTCAAACGTCTTTAATAAATTGTGTAAGGCTTTCACGGCCATCCTTCAGCATATCATTGTTTTTCGGGCTGTTCGGCCGATGTGAGCTAGCAGAGATTCTCGAAGTTTCGCTTTCACGTGCGGACAGTACCATCAGGAGATGTTAACTCCTCAATTGAAGAATTAATTCTTCGACCAATCGAGGAGCAGCCCGAAAAACAATGATACGTCAAACGTCTTTGTTAACGCAAATACTCAAACTAGGCCTTTACCTTTACTGGATCAATGGATTTACAACCTAAAAGGTCAATGCTATTATTAATCTATATATGTATATAATAAAAACATCTAATTAATTACTTCCAATTATATGCATCAGTACTACAATTTGTATATTTGTTTATTATATTATTATAGTTGGATCCGGTTAGTACAAATAAAAGTCAAAAAGTATTATAATGTATATTTCAAATAATAAGTACGAATAACAAACTAAAGGACAAAATATATTTTTACTTCCTACCGTAGAAATGTTGTAATAATGTTTATTCTTAATTCGACGGACGTGTTCTAAATTAGAACGGCGCCACTGAAATGGCGGCTCAAACGTCAACCGCCAAATTATATACGCGTCAAAGTTTCCCGCCAAAAGTGAAACGCGAAAACGCTAGAAAGCTGTTATTTTCAACGGCTTATTTTCGTAAGTTGATATTATCGCGCTTCCTGCATTACATAAGCAAAGAAATAGCGATTAAACTATGTTTTAAAGTGACTTGTCAAAAGCGAGTCATTTGAACTGTCATTGTCATTATGTAATGGGTCACTACATATGAAATTTTCATCAGTTAAACTAATGACTATAATTCTTATTTCAATGGTTTTCTGTTTGAATGGCAATCCATTCATACATCCATAACGACATTCTTTTTCGTTTCGTGTTAACGCTTTAGGCGAAGGCTTATTTGAAACTTTCAAGTTGATACATGGTGTAAGATATCCCCCATAGTCGTTTCAACTTATAATTGTCCCACAGTTGGACACTAATCCCCTCTCTAAAAGGTAAAGAGCTTAGACTTGTATAATATGTATCTGTTAAATTACTGAGCTTAGGGTCAGAGTGTGGGTATAACAGTACTTCCAAACTACGAATCGGCACTGGGAATAATCGGGGACGATTCAAAATACAAATTTAAAAGCCGAAATTCAAACTGTGGACCTCGTTATCGCAGTCGAATGTACTAACCAAGAGACCAACAATAGCGCTATATATTTAAGTAATTTTAACTTAACAAGTAATAAGTAGTGTTTGTAGTTAACGAGAATAGTACATATTTAAATAAAATACTTTCAACGGTTTAAAACGCATAATATAAAAGTTAATTTTTAATTAGCGACGTGACTACGGTTGCTGCATCCGAAACGTTGAACCGTAATTAAAATAAGTTAACTAATATATTTCGTATTTTAAGCCGTTAAGTGTTTGGTTTGTATTAATAATAAATACAAGAAAAGCAATGTTAATAACTAGTCGTCATAGAATGCAATACAAATGTATTATAAGGTTTGGAGCACGATTAAATTGGGTTTGTGCAATATTTTGTGATATAAAATTTGTCCAAAAAAGTGCAATAAATTGTATTATACTCAAATTTATATTAAAATGTTTTATTATTATGATACTGTAAAATAAGGAAATAAATGCTTAAGAATACATATTTGTTTTATTTCAAAAATAAACATTATATTGTGATAATAAAAGGAAATTTTGATGACATTCGAAAGACCCCATTTTTATAATCTGAATAGTTAAAGCCGGTTACAACTAAAACACAATTATTCAATGAATCAAATCTTTTATTGCCACAACCTGACGTGTAGGATGCTGGATTCTATTTATTACCGAAATTTCTAAAAGCGACGTCTGAACACGACAATAAAACAATGTTATTATATTACATTTTATTTACAGTCCAATCTTTTAAACACCATACAATTGAAGAAATCCATAATTAGCAATAGGCGGAGTGAGTCAAAATCTTATAGTATATAAGTATAGGATCCGAAGCCTAAACATACAACAAGACTTGCCTATATCTATATATGTACACAATCACACACAAGGAATATTGCAACTCTTAAAAACTAATTAATACCATAATATGAACACATGAATTTGGAGTTCAGGTCTAAATTATACATCTACATCATAAAAATCCAATGGAAGCATATCGTATAAGGGCGGGTTACAACAAAACGCAAGACTTAAGAACTATTTAAAATTAAAAAATTGACGACGCCGGAACATGAAACGGCATCAACAGTGATCTGTGGTGCTGCTCTAACCAATTAAGCTACAGTGTCGCACCTGTCATCGTCGAATTTCATCCTATCATTCTTTCATGCACCTTTCGCGCAATGCAATTTCAACCTTAAAGCTTACCAATTGAGGTGCAATGTTTTATGCTTTGCAGCTTAAAAAAATATTAAAAGAAAGCATCATTTGAAATTTGTTGTATGTTATATGGGCTCAATTGTTTGTTTTTTTAAATTACATTAAAGTAATTTTCTTAATTATGTAATGTACGTTTAATTATGATTCTATAAACCCACCCTACCTACAAAAAATACCTAAACTCTACAGCTTCTATACAATAACGCATGTTAGAAAGAGACAAATATAGTACAGTCGAAACTTACCAATAAATTCTAAACGAAATTTAAAGATTAAATGGCTTAAAAGTCAGTTTAAAGGAAAATACGTAATGTAAGAAAAAGATGTATCAAGTGAAGTTGAAATGAATGATAAGCAATTTTGTATTCCAGTTTTTTTTTATTGCGGTATCATTAATCAACTCTACCATAGATAATTAATCTAGTTTTTGTTTTTTATTCTCCACTTCTTCGGAATTCGAATTAAGTGGCCGTTTTAATTTACCTTCGATACTTTTCGAGAGGTTGCTCAAGTGTCGAATCTCGTTGGTGATTCCCCGGATTTTAGCCATAGTGCATTGAGTTCTTTGTCTCGGCGTCTGGTTGGATGTGGAAGGTGCTGGGTTTGAGTCCGCGCTGTCAGCATCTTCTGATAAACTAGGTAATCTTATTTGTGGTTTTCGCGGTTTAATGTTTGGGAGCACTAGAAAAAAATTAAGATAAATCAAGAAACAAGGCCAACTACCCGCAACGTCTGTGGATAAATAAAAAATAAATACACTTTTGGACTTCAAGAACTATTTACCTAGTTATTTGATATTCACTGTTTGCCTAAATAAACATTCTCATTTCTCTCTCTCTCTTCTCTTTTAGCATACCTAAGATTATGGGTTTTAGTCCTGGATTTCTTGAGTTCACGTAAGTCTAATTTACAATAGATGCTATTACATACACTTATTTGTATTGCGTTTGTTTGTGCCGATAGGCAAAACGGATAGATCCAATTTGATCTGACTCCCAAAGTGACGCAGTGGTGCACCACTGGCGGAATCGGTGGTCGCGGATGCTACAATTAAAAGATTGAGTTATTTCATGTAGATCTTTATGCTTTAAGAGATAAATACTAATAATGAAAAATGAATTTGAATGAGATTGAAAAAACCCACAATACAGGTGGTACTCAATTTGATGCCATATGTAACTGGTTTTTTTAAATACTTAAAAAAAATCAAGTAATATACATTAATGTAAGTCTTACCGTTAATAACGTTTCCTCCGACCGTTTGGTCTGTATGTGTGAGTTTGCTGTATTTTATATCACATTCTTCTATGCGCTTCTTGAGGTCAGCTGAAAATATATCGATAAAATATAAGGTAAATTCGTTTGTATACAAGGTTATTCCTACTTCATGCGAAACCTGAAAGTAGTTTGTTCAGAATTAGTAGCAGAATCCATTCCAATAGCTTTTATACCACGTTATATTTTTGTCAAAATTGTAGGAATTTTTTTAAATCTTGGACACCGTTCGATAAATAAATTCCTACATAGGTATAATTAAATAGGTATAAACATTCGGGGAATCCGCGGCGGCCGCTCGTCGCTTTGAACTAACCGCTACCGCGCGAGCGCGCCCACCCCGCTTCTTGTCTACTAAAGTCAGTGCGTGCGTCAACCCTTTCACGGTGATTCCGAATTACAAACAAGCGATTACGCATCCCACGGGCGTCTCATCGTTTCGCGTTGTTTATTAAGTGTGTTACTGACAAAAATGTCTTACAATTATACCAATGTACAATGTGTGTGTGGAAATGGTGCGAACACTTGCTTTGTGTGGTGATAATATATCATGAATACAAAATGAACAAATTCGGATCTTGGTATCATGGAACACAATGCTGGGCTTACGAGATCATGGCCAGTTCAGACCACTCGCAGTAGACAGAGGCGAGGAGATTATTCAACGTAAGTCAGTCTTACGTGTGGTGGACTTTAAGGAATGACCACCAATACCTTTATCATTTTAGACGAGCACAAGAGCTGCTCCAAAATGATAAAGCCCAAAGATTCGATAAATTAGTGCAAATAATGGTGATTAACGTTTTGTCTTTGTCTCAATAATTAACGCTGCCTACATGCCGTTTAACCATTCTGACAGTCCAAAGCCTGTTAGTGTCATGGGAAAATGTTATTGCCAAAAGTTCTCAATACACTCTGTGAGCGGACAATAGGTACATAAAAGTAGTGAATCGTGTAGTGTAAGGTTCAGGACGCGGAGCCGAGAGGGAGGGGGTGCGAGATACCGCGCTGCGTCGACGCCTGCTCAGTTACCATGATAATGCGGGATAAACAATAACATGAAAAAATTTATAACTTCGTGAGTTGTCATTATTTTTTAATTTTGATTTTTTTATCCTGATTCTGCGAATAAAAAGACGTTTGGCGTGTTTCAGCTTTAGTATCTACAAAGAATAACCTTGTATAAACACCACAGGAATGGTTTACATTAATAAATAATGTATGAACTTTGAAGCTAGATAAATAAAAGACAGCCTTATTGCTAAACAGACTCTCCACGACTAAACAAACTATCTCTTCCAGGCAACTAAATGTGAAGGAAAATTAGTTTTTGTGAGTAGCCGCGCGACTGCTACAAAGCATCTAGTAGAGTCCAGTCGGTTCGATTTAAAGCATTAAGTGGTTTATTTAATTTAATTTATAGAGTAATGTAATGTAAGTATAAGGACATTAACAAAAATAAGAGTAAAAATCCTGTTTTTATTTATGTTTCCTTGTTTAAAGATCTATATCGATCTAGAACAGCTAATATAAAATTATGTTAATACAACGTATACAAGGCAGACACATTTCTGTATCTGTTTCAGAGATTTTTTTCCAGGCGGCAAACCTGCTACTTTTCACTATATAAAAAAAGAGCCATTTTAGAGGATATAACTAACACACCCATAGTAGCGTCTTGTTCCTTCTGCCGTTTGCTGATATCTCGTATGGTCTTCCTCTGTCTCCACGCTATACGCCTGTATTCGACAATCTGTAATCAAAACCAATAGGTTGTTGTTTGAAATACATATTGAGATATATAATTCATGAAAATAATGTCATTTTGACTTTTTTTAATCCCTCGTCGGCCTAGTGTTTAGTGCACTCCACTGCATGTAACGGGGTTCCTGGTGCGAACCTGGGTTGAGCCTGGGATTATTTAGTAATTAGGTTAAATAAAATCTGGTTCGGGCTCGAATGTAGTTGTTAAAATCAGAAAGTTTGTAAAGCAGTTAAAATGATTATCACGTCACTTCATTAAAGCCCATTAATCCACACTGGAGCAGTGTTGCGGGTCTAACCTCTTTAACCAAACAGTATTTAAAATCAGTGGTCTCCGTAATGCCTAGCAGTTGAACCATAAAAATATAAACTTACTTGATAATGTTAGTGAAGGGCTTAAAAACAGTCTCACCCGTTTGAACAGTTTCTTGTGCTGTGAAGCGAGATGCACTGAAAGCTTGGCATAGAGCACTGAGCGTCTGCGCAGGTGCAACATCTCTTGTCGGAACGCCAATGGTAATAATGAACCTGGAATATGAGCCATGATGTAAGACATTCTTATTTGAAGACATATTCTAGGTTAAGCTCATCTATTGATTTTATCCAGTAAGTACATATAATCATTGATGTAGTTTTTAAACTTCCCAGGGAAAGAAACCTGGTTTTTACATTCATGTATGACTTTGTTACCAAGCCTTTAGCCTAAAAAACATAAATTATCAATTCAAGGGTAATCCTGTTTTTGCCCGTGGGACATGGGGGCAAACAAATTTCTGAGTACGTCTCGCTGATTGGTTCTTTTATAGGCAATTGGTCGGTCAGACTTCTGTGCCCTGCCCAATGTAACACTGTATCGTTTTTCTGGGCTTCGATCCCAAGGCACCTTGAGATTAACACACTGCTAGGCAATATATTTAACCATTTGGCTACAGACGTCGTCATTAATTAGGGGTAATTAATTATTTTTTTATTTCCCTAAACAAACTTTCAGACACAAATAAGTATATGTTCAGATATTTTATGAGCGTAAATTGTTATTGAATAATTATAATATTTTAAAAATATTGTAATTATTTACTATTACTGTTTGAATAATTATCATAATCACTAAAATGCTACTTATATAAATTCAATATTTGCAAGACAAAAGTATTGACTGTTTCATAGACATTTAAGTTTAATATATTTTTAATAATAATCGTTGTATAAATGTTCGAAGTAAAATAACATTTATATTATTTTAACTCTAATTGAATTGTTTTACAAATAAACTAAACTTAATTTAATTGGATTTGACTTAGCGCCATCTGGTGTCGGTTTCATTTATAAATCCAATATTTATTAATGGCATTTTCATTGTAAAATACGTTTTACTCATTAACTATTTTTACTCAAAAGTATTAGTGCAAAATAAACAAAGTTGTCTTCTGTGTGCATTTTCATTATGATAGACTAGTACTGGTAAACACAATACACCTCTATATTGCTACCTTGTGAAGGCCTCGGAGAAGGTACAGCTACACCCTCTTGTAACTTTTTTCGGAAGGCAGGTGATATCTTATCATCAAAGTGTTCAATCGCCATACTTGATATGTCGCGGAGTTCTTGCAAAACTTCGTGCGCACGCGGCGGTGTTTTTGAAGTTTCCACTATACTTAGTACGCGACGGATTTCATCTATAACCTGAAATTAAAAGTACAAAATATTAAAGGAAAAATTAGAAGATTTTACAGTATTTTTGAGAAAGAGTTTAAAAAGAAGAATTATGTATATTAAAAATAAAGTCACCTGTGACACATGTTATTAGACAGTCCCATATAGGTTTAAAACACAAATAGAAAATATTAAAATCACTAGTCAAATTATATAACAGTATGGAATTCAGAAAGTGCCTCAACAGAAAACTCGACTATGGGAGGAGCTATTCAAATTTTTACCTTTCCAGGAATAAAGCAACATATACCACTGTCTATAAACTTTGAATAAGTCATATTGAGCATAGAAATTCTCGTTTCAATTGATGTTAAAATATCACAATGCCGCGCTAAAGGGTGATATCTGAAATAGGAAAAACATCTTACTGTCAAAGTCAAAGTCAAAAATCATTTATTCATGTAGGTAACTATGTACACTTATGAACGTCACAAAATAATTATAGAATCTAACTTTACATTTACTACCAGTTCTCAAATCTTATCAATGTCTTATTATGCTTCCTATAAATAACTATGTAATAAATACCATGTTCATAATTCTTAATAATTTAAACAAGTCCACATATACATTGCAACCCCTCAGGAATCAATACATGGTTCTTAATATATATACATATACTAGTATTCTCTCAACATCAAAAATGAAGTACTTATATAGTTTACAACATTATTGATTTATTAGAGATGTTTATACATAGCATAGAAAGTATGAAATAATTTTCAAATACCTGCGTTCAGATTCTCTTCTAGGCAGTTGTGCCTTAACATTCTTAAGGGCCAGTGCATGTTGTCTCTCAATAATCAGAAATCCACGGTTTAACATTCGCATGCAAATATCATTGAAGGCTCTTGAAACCTGTAAGTAGTAAGCCTTGAGTTAAGGATTCACTCCCTCAGTACTCTGTAGTTCAATTGTTAAATGCAAGAAACAAATAATAGTTGCACAGTCTGCACACAGAAGTTTGTTCCATTTATTGCCCATATTTTATCAATTTATTCAAAAACTTCTCAGCATGCTGCTTGTTAGTCGACTGACCAAAACATCAGTATAATTGAAGGGATATCAACAATCAATAAAGAAAACTGAGATCAATATTGTAGTTGTACTAAACATACATAATAAACGTACATAAATTCTGAATATACGAAATAATTAGGAACTATCGAGAAGCAATTTTTTAAGTCATCATACCCAGTGTGGCTTTTATTTATTTACTGAAAAAAAAAAAAATTATAGGTACACCTCTCAAAAACTGAGTAGGTTCTAGAAGTTTTAGAAGCATACAGTTCAAGCACGTAGAAAACCCTACACTACTCATTGATAATAGTTAATTAATCGTCATATCTATTAATAAAATTTACTTACCATCCTGCTCTTAGCAATTTCATCGTGTGAAAGATACGATAATATATTTTCAATAACAACGACTGGAAGACTAAGAAAATCCATATTGCCACAAAGTAATCACAATTTATTGAAGAAACTTAACATACACATTAATCACGTAATCTTTTTGATGTTCTAACCAAATTCTTTACAAACAATGAAGCATTTTGAGTTTTCCCGATGTTTCTTCTAGTTTGTCATAGCTGCTAGCGGTTGCGCAGTCGCCAATGTTATGTGTTTACTATATTTTTCTCCTTCTTGCGTGAACACTTTTTAATGAGCGAAAGAGATAGGTTTCGAAATAAGCTAGGCGTGAACCAGGAAATACTGGAATAGGCGTTGTTAAAAACAATTAATGTCAAAATTCAGAATTATCCGAATATCATTGGTTAAATTTTTGTCATTTTCTTGACAATTGACAAAATCAAAGAATGAAGATTAAATAACTCGTAAGGAATCATTATATGAATATATATTACATAGGGCATATTAGAAGGTATATATTGAATTAATACTTATTTCATAGTAATTATATACTATGAAATAAGTATTAATTCTATAATGAACTACTATAATGAAATTTGAAAATAAACCACACAATAACTATGGTTAATTTATAATCTAACAGAACGGTCTCAAAAAATAAATAACACAAGGAAGCGAATGGAGTTGTCAGGCCAGTGACGTCATCGTTAACCTGACCAATCGGAAGTGTTTTGTATTAAAATACATGATTTCAAAGAGTTTTAAATTAAATCAATTATTTTTAACCTACTATAAATATTGATAGCTCTATTTTGTGCAATGTCAAATGAGGGGATGAAGGGGACAAATTAGTAATAATAAACTCCATATAAAACCATAATAACACCAAAAACATTTAATAAGTAATAATTTTAACAGTATGCTTAAAAATTAATAAAATTTTATATTGGTAGATCACAGTGTTTCTTTTTAACGTGAAAACGAAGTGATGTGTTGTACTTTGTAGCAAATGGGCAAACTTCACATTTGAACCTCTTTTCAGTGGAATGTTTATACTTATGTTGAACTAAACCAGCTGGTAGGGTTGTCGCATAGTCACATTGGTTGCAAGCATATCGCTTCTTTCCAGTAGCATGAGCCTCCTCATGATACTTCAGGATATACTTATTCATAGTTTGAAATGGACACTGTGAGCACTGCAGCTTAACACCCTGATCCAAATGCCTCCTCTTGTGTTTCTCCATGGCAGCTTCATAAAAAGTATTATATTTACAATTTTCAAATGTACAATGTAAAGTGGTTGCATTTTTATGTCGCAGCATATGTTGTGTCATACTGGCCCTATTATTTGAAGAGAAATCACAGTATTTGCAGCGGACTGTAGTATCTTCATGTGATTTAATATGCTTGGGTAATTCATTGTCACGCACTAACTCTCCGCACACTTGACACTGCGTTTCTGTTGCCACATAGTGATTTTCTTCATAATGCTGTTTTAACTGTTCCCAACTGTAATAATTTTCTGGGCACTTGGTACACTGGTATGTATTTTGTATCTCACCTTCTTTTTTAATTTCAATAGTAGAAATCTCCTTGGATCCCTCAAATTTATGTACTAAGTCACAATGCCGACTAAGTTCCAGTTCATCTGGAAATGTTGCTGGGCAGTGTTCACAGTTTTGTAATGGGCTATTTACCTGATTATTTCCATGTTTGACCAAAATATGACGTCTGTAGCTCTCCTTTGCTGTAAAGACTTTTTTACAAAATCTACATGTATATGACACTTTTAAGTGAACTTTTAACATATGAGGCCTCAATTGACGCTTTGTATGGAATGCAGCATTACATATGTGGCAAAATACAGTTTTTGGTTGAGGAATTTCATGTGAACATCTCAAATGTTTACCAAGACCACTCTGAGATGCAAATATAAGACCACAGATTGGACATTCTCTCACAGTTTTGGCATGAGTGTGATTTAAATAGTCTTCACGGTTTTCAAACTGTTTAGTACAAATATCACAATATGAACTATTATCATGTTTTCTGCGTACATGCCGTTTCAGGCTTTCAATTTTGTCATATGACAAGTTGCAAATTTTGCATTTTAAACGAAAGTCTTCTCTCATTGCATTGTGTTTTCTCCGCATATGCAGTTTGAGATAACTTAGAGATGAAAAGACTAATGGACACTCAGAGCAATAAACATGTCCGCTTGCAGAATTTTGTACAGAGTCTTCTATATTTTCTGTCTTTATAGAACATGGCTCATCATCACTTTTCCTATGTTTTCTATGCACATGTCTTGCATATGTTTCCCGTTTTGTATATACCATAGGACAAAATGGGCAATTGAAGTACCGATTTTCAACTGGTACAATTCCCGAATGCTTTCTCCGTGTGTGTACTATTAAACTTCTATATTTTTCATAAGTAAGACCACATTCGTTACAAACATGTTTAAAGGAATCTTGAAATGATCCATGTTTTCTGCGCATGTGCATGCGTAACCTGGGCATCCCTTTAAAAACCAATGCACATATGTCGCAAGTTCTTTCTTCTCTATCATCTGGGATTGAATCTGGACCATGTTTTCTCTTAATATGAGCGACTAGACTATTTTTAGATTCGTATGCCATACCACAGTAATCACAAATATGTTTCAAAGTTCTTCGGTATACCTTATGTTTCCTTCGCTGGTGCATTTTCAGTGTTTTTGGAGACTGAAAGACTAGATGGCAAACTTTGCAGACATAATTAGGGGCAATATCAGTGTCATCAGGTATTGAAACAGGTGCATCATGAATGATCTTTTCAAATGTAAGCAAAACTGCTTCCCTGTTTTCTTGCTCTAATCTAACAAACGGCTCTGGATGTCCATCATTGCTGTTGGGTCCTTGAACCATGAGTCCATTATCATTAGCAAACTGAAAAAATTAAAAAAATGAATGCTAACTAAAATTATTATTTGACTTGTAATAATAACAGTCATTATTACAAGTCAAATTTGATAAAATATGGATGTATATTTTTTCTACATTATATTTGGGCATTTGTAAAAGTCATTAAAATTGCTAAACTTACATCATTGAAATCAAGTTCTACTTCAATATTTTCCACTTTGATATTAACTTCCGGGTCTAAGATGCTCTCTGAATCTGGATCAAAAATGTTGATAGTTGGACACTTCACTTTTTCTTCAATATCTTTAAATGGGTCCTCTTGTTTCTTTTTCTTTTTTTTCTTTTTTGGTTTTATTTCATATGACATTGGCTCTTCTGGCAAGAATGTTGTAGGGTCCTTTCTAATTTCTTTTACCTTTACCTTAGTATCTAATGTACTCTCTTCGATATTGGACATAGTGATTGTGATGAAAAGTTTCTGAAAATCACAGAAATACTAAACATAATATAACTATGATTGAAGTAAGGTGAAAATCATTATGCTGTTTGCCTCGCACGCACATATTACAAACAAATAGCGAATAAATTTTAATGTTACAATAAATTAAGTTTGAAAAACCAAGTACACAAAATAACAAAAGACAAATATAACATTTCTGAAAATGTAGGAACCGCAAGGTTAAAGTATTAAGAAATACACGTCATTGAAATCATAAACTTACCAAATTTATTTTATACCTAGACACTTCATAACCAAAGTTGTAAGTTCACTACAAGTATTGTATATTTCTCCTAGATTATTGAGTCATGGTCTGAATGACAATATTTTTTATTATTTGATATCATAACTACTTAGGACAAAATCACACTCCTGTTTCAACTAGTATAAGTTATTATTTTATTATCATTACAATAAAATATGGCTGATTGACAATGACTTCAAATTAAAAAAAAATTAATAAATGTCAAATTAAAATTAAGGGTAACTTTGAGTTGTCAACTTGAATAGATTACTCCTTCTTCTTCTTAAATTAATAGCTTTCCATTTTCGATATAAATAAAATTTAAATTTTCATATGAAAGCCAACAATGATGAAATATTAGTCGACCTAAAAAAGAGTCCCTTCTGAACAACTCAGGCATTTACGAAATTCACGACCAAATTCGTCATTGTTTGAAGCTTTAAAAAAAGACGTTTTGACATCGGTTGATTTCATACATTGCATTTGACAGTAGATTTGTCATATTTTGTACCTTTACAAATTTTTGACATAACATAACCTTGCTATTAAATTATTAAAATGTTCAAAACATTTTTAAATTTATGATAACTAGAGTTCAGGTTATATTTATTACTTACATATTTTTTATGTCACGAAATAATTAGATATTAAAAAAATGTTGCGTTCTTTGAAACTTCTCAACACTAGAATTGTGAAGTTAAATAAAGTATCGTATCCATTTCCAAAAAGAAGAATACATTTAAGTGCAGGTAAACAAATATTTATTATGTAATTCTTGATGTAAAACCTTAAGAATTCTATTCATAATTATATTTCAGGAGCAAGACATGGCGAATATGAATGGCAGGACCCAAAATCAGAAGAAGAAGTGTAAGAATTTCATAAAATTGCCTCTATTTATCTTCTTAATGGCATATTAATTTTCCTTTGTTCAATTTCAGTGTAAATATTGTATATGTAGATAAAGAAGGGAAGAAAACAAAAGTTCGTGGTAAAGTAGGTGATAATGTATTATATTTAGCTCATAGGTATGGAATAGAAATGGAAGGTGTGTTCCTGTTAGCCTATGTTAAGTTTTATTTCTGTTATTTTTATATGTTTTTAATTTAAGATTTTGTATATTTCTAGGTGCTTGTGAAGCATCTTTAGCATGTACAACATGTCATGTGTATGTAAAACAAGATTATTTTGATAAATTACCTTCATCTGAAGAAAAGGAAGATGATCTGTTAGACATGGCACCATTTTTAAGGGAAAATTCTAGATTAGGTAAAGTTATTCTTAGGTACAGTCTACTGTTTTTAAAAATAAGTATTATGATAATTAAAATAAAAAATAAAATTTCTGTTTCTAGGGTGTCAAATAACATTGACCAAAGAGTTAGAAGGAATGGAGTTACACCTTCCAAAAGCTACAAGAAATTTCTATGTTGATGGTCATAAACCAACACCACATTAGTAATTATTGCAAATAAGAATATTTTTCAAAAGATATAGATACATGCAATAATAAGTCTATTTAAGTCAATACTAATTTATTTTATTCTCATTTTGGATTTCTTCTTTTTTAGAATTTTAGGCATGGAGGCTAATTAATAGGGTTATAAGAAACTATTTTCATTGATAAAACTGATTTAAAAAAACTTCATTTAAATTTATGTGAAAATGAAATTAAAATAATATTTAACGTTTAAAGAAATGTTTATGTATGCATTCAATTCATAGTAGTTTTAAACATTGCATTGTTACCTGGATAAGTAGCAGTGTATAAGATGTAAATGTCTAAGCAGAGTTTTGTTAATAAATACAATATTTAATATTAGAGGGTAAATTTTATTCCATTTTTGACCGGACAAAAAAAAACTGACTTTGAAAAAACTGACTATTAAGTATAAAGGCCAACTTTAAATAAATTGTAACCAAATGTTTGGAAATAAACGTTACTTAACCGGTTTGGGTATACTTTATTGAAATATATGTAACAACTTAATAATTTCATTTAATAAGACATATATTTTATTTATTTATTGGAAAGTTAACAGTATTAAATTCATAAGGATCGGTTCTTAGATAAGGATAAACATGAAACAATCATATTTTATGACTTTACCTTATGTCAATGTAGGAAGACATAGTCAACGTCAATTGTCATTTTCTACTGTGACATAACGTACTGTAAGATTGCCAGCTTATAATGTAACTTTTTCGTGCAATGAAAGCTGTTGATTTTTCACTGTGTTAATCGCCTCCAATATTAGAAATATATAATAAACAATTTATTTTTAAATGTACATTATTATCTGGTATTGTGCAGCAAAAATGCCTGGTCAACAATATTGCCGCTTGACGCTCCGCATTTTGTAGGCTGGCCCAGACTTCAGTGTTTTGCTTTTCATTTCGTTCATTCTCCGTTCAATCAGTCAGTCCGCTCGCGGCTTTCGGTCGAGTTGGTGTGATCGTGTTATTTTTCGAAGACGCGTTTCGTTGTGATTTGTGTTTTGTATTGTGGTGCATGATGGCTTACAACGGTGGGGGTGCCAAAAGACTCTGTACAGGGACTGACCTGGATGTAGAAAGGGTAGGTTGTATGAATTTTATGTTAGTTGACAAAATAGTCTTCTGTGTACACGGATGAAAATGGCCGTGTTTTCATCCGTCATGTCTTACTTAACAGCGTTTCAAGAACGTATAGATTCGAATTGGATTATTGGTATTATCATTTCTGACTTGGAATTGAGATATTTTGTTTATCTTCGTCTGTCATTATCACGTTATATTGTTATTCGGTGTTTGAGGTTACCTACATTGACAGATGACAAAGTTATGTTGCCAAGTCGCTTTTGAAACCACATAGAGCTGTTTGTAAGTTTACTAAACTTTGAAAATTTAAAAATAGTTTTATTAAATAATCCTGCGTTAGGCAACTATTAACGGAACGATCTCATTAACGTGTTTCGGCCTTTAATAATTACGGCGGGAAAATTATAATTTCTTTCTTCAAAATGTTTGGATTTTCTTTATACAAAAAGTTCTTATTTCTTTACCTCAATTCTAAGATATCTTTGTTAATATAAAATATTTTTCGTTAGAAACAAAAACACAGTTAAAATGATAATATGGCTATATTTGTATATACCAATTGTTAGCAAAATCTAGATTTAGCTAAAAAGTATATTTTGATTTTGTGGTATTGCTTATAAAATAAAACTAACATCAAAATAATTTGTATTTAATCTTAGTTGTTTAGTTAGTTACTTTTTCCTAGAAAATATATAGACTTAGGCATTTGAACAGAACTTTCTAAGACTTGTTGTAGCAAGATTTAATTTTAATTGCACTGTAAAGTATTGATAAGAAGTGATTGATTTATTATTCCTTCTGATAAGACAGCATTGTAAGAAAATCCAACACACTTGTCGCTGTTTGATAAAACAGATACATTTAAATAAATATAATAGCTTATGTAATATTTCAATTATAAGATTTAAATTTAAAAAAAAACATACTTAACTAATTTAAATGCCCTAATTCAATAGTTAACTTTACTAATTTAATTATTTAATATATGTATTGTTATGGTTTATTGAAAGCACTATTGTAAGATGATCTTAAACTACCTTGGTTGTAATGTTATGTACATTATAAAACAGAAAATAACACAAAATTAAACACAAGTGAAATTAATTTGTAAATGTTATAGTGTTCTTCTAGAAACTTCTAGAATCCCAGCACTATGGTTGTAGCAATTCACATAAAATATAACCATAATCACAAAGCTGCTATTTAGCAATAAAACATATCTAATTTTTGAAAACATTAATATTTTTCACATGTTATTGCACATGAAGGCACCATATAATTTAAAAACCGAAAATAAATTGAAAAAAATTTTCGACTCGGGCAGGACTTGAACTGGCATCGTCATTCAGAGCAACAGCACGGAAAGCTGACGATGCCGGTTCAAGTCCTGCCCGAGTTGAAATTTTTTTTTCAATTTATTTTCGATTTTTTAAATTACATATCTAATTTGTTAATACTCACCGAGTGAAGTTTTTGCAGAGTGGTTTGTGAAACACACAGAAGATATACTTACAGTCACAGTGTGGAAAAGTGGCAAAACAGATATCTATGTTTCTATCTATTCCAAAATGCTGATCTGTTATTCTATAAAACCCTGTCTTCCTAATCATCATTGATATACCATTATAGTTAATAGGACATTTTTATAATTAAATCATATACGTAATATAAATAATTCAATCTAGATATTTATTTATCACCTATGTTTAAGACTCTTTGAAATTGATAAAGTATTGTTTACTTTTTCCGAGCACCAATGTCTAAGTTAGACCTCTGTGGCTACTGTGCCTAGCACTAACATAACAAATACATTCGATCAGGGACAGGGTGTTCAATTAACTACCTATAATCCTAATTAAAATTCAATGCGTTAAACTGATGCTTTACTACACTCACAAGTAAAAATCTATCACAGAAAGTATTGAATTTCAATGCTGGATGTTTTCTTCAGTCCCTGAAACTCTGAAAGTCACCTGGCAAGAGGTATCTGAAACTTGAGAGATATTGTTCAAAAATTGTCGCCAGAAGTTGACGTAACTGCAAAAGTTTTGTTTGAATCGATTTTATTTGAACGAGGCAGGTAACATTTGCTCTACGATCGCGATTAATACTGCGGTTCGAAATCGATTCGGAACGATTGTTTGAATCGAGTTTAATTTCGTGCTTGATGATTTACGGCCTACGAAGTTTAATGTTTCATTTCTTCACGCTTATTATTTGTTAGAAATTGGAAAATCTTACTCGTGATTATGATTTGATATTATACGGCTCTTATACATATAGCCATGAATTATAGAGCAAAGTGATAAATTAATATTTTGACGATTTAGTTAAGTCATTTGATTGATCGGAACCATGAAAAAAAAAGAGAATAAAAATTTTCACGCGCAGAAAAAAGTTTAAATGGTGATTACTGTGTAATTAAATAATGTTTATAGTTTACGCGACATGATATAAGTATGCTGTATTTAAATGTATACAGCACTTTAACGGTTTAAAACGCGATATATTCGATAAACTTATTTGAAAATGATTTTTAACTTCGGTCCGACGTTTCGGATGCTTTGCAGCAGCAGTCTCCCCGTGACCACGGCTGCTGCTAAGCATCAAAAATCTCGTTTTAAACCGTTAAAGTGTTTTATTTAAATACTGTGTAATTATTATTCTCTTATTCTTCTTATGGATCTTATATTATTTGTTTCTTTTTTATAATAAAGAATCGTTCTATATGTAGGGACTTCAAGACAATTTTAGCTATAAAGTTAAAAATGTATCACTCGTATTAGTCAATATGTCTCTAGCATTTCCGACTGAGTCACACGCCTGACAGCAAAGTAGGCGGGATCAGATCCGCGCCAAGATCTGCGATTAGCTGATTGGGCTTCACTCATTATTGCTGTCCTATTGGCCACATTATTGAACACAACATAAAATAGGATTAATAATATTTATTCAGTAAAATATGGACCTCAACGTTTTGACCGCTCTGCTTGCTGGCTGGTCGACAAGGTTTCATGGCAAGAACTTCCTTCACCAATGAAGAAAAAAATACCTATGATTTTATCATTACTTAATATTACTACTAATAGTTAATATGAATTTCTTGTAGTTTTAGTTAGGTTTTTAGGATGTACATTGTAAATGAATTTATTACAAAAAGAACTTATCGGAAGTTTTAGTCTCTTGCAAATTGACACACTATGTTTTTTTAATGATTGAATCGATTATAAAGAATTTTTACTGTATCATTTTATATACAGACATTTTATATAAGGTTGTAACGGATAAAAAAGAGTAAGTGCCGGACGCAGCTACTGACAAAAGCATAGCAAAAATAATGTTATTTATAACGCCAATGTGTAATAAAATAAAAATGTCATTAGTCATACTATTTCCCCAAAGAAAAGAAAGCAAGATCAAAGACCCAAGAAACAAAGCCGTCGTAAACTGTTTCTAGTACGATCGTAAATCAATTGGACTTAGAAAATGAAAAAAAAAGCCCGAGCAGCTTGACTTTAATGAGTTGCCAATACATTCCTATAAAACAATATTTGATTTAGGTACATTTTCTTAGATCTTACGAGATAAAAAATATAAACACTCAACACACGGATCTTTAATTAATTATTAATCTACCTTTGCCTATTGTTCAAAGCTAATAAATCGATCGAAAGCTTTTTTGGTTTAGCTATAATTTTAGATACATGTTTGTTCTGGTCTTAAATGATACCTATTGATAAAATTGCCCACCTACGCGATTATTCGATTTGGAATGGCCAACGTCTGGCATTATTATTGTACTGTCGATTTGGAATTAGGGATGCCAACATTGATGTCGAAACTTCACGTTTAAAGGAGCTTGTAAAATATGTTTCTGAA